TCTCCTCTACACCATCTCACTGTGTGCTAGTAGACACGTCTGCATCTCCTCTACACCATCTCACTGTGTGCTGGGAGGCACGTCTGCATCTCCTCTACACCATCTCACTGTGTCCTAGTAGGCACGTCTGCATCTCCTCTACACCATCTCACTGTGTGCTGGGAGGCACGTCTGCATCTCCTCTACACCATCTCACTGTGTGCTAGTAGACACGTCTGCATCTCCTCTACACCATCTCACTGTGTGCTGGGAGGCACGTCTGCATCTCCTCTACACCATCTCACTGTGTGCTAGTAGGCACGTCTGCATCTCCTCTACACCATCTCACTGTGTGCTGGGAGGCACGTCTGCATCTCCTCTACACCATCTCACTGTGTGCTAGTAGGCACGTCTGCATCTCCTCTACACCATCTCACTGTGTGCTGGGAGGCACGTCTGCATCTCCTCTACACCATCTCACTGTGTGCTAGTAGACACGTCTGCATCTCCTCTACACCATCTCACTGTGTGCTGGGAGGCACGTCTGCATCTCCTCTACACCATCTCACTGTGTGCTGGGAGGCACGTCTGCATCTCCTCTACACCATCTCACTGTGTGCTAGTAGACACGTCTGCATCTCCTCTACACCATCTCACTGTGTGCTGGGAGGCACGTCTGCATCTCCTCTACACCATCTCACTGTGTCCTAGTAGGCACGTCTGCATCTCCTCTACACCATCTCACTGTGTGCTGGGAGGCACGTCTGCATCTCCTCTACACCATCTCACTGTGTGCTGGGAGGCACGTCTGCATCTCCTCTACACCATCTCACTGTGTCCTAGTAGGCACGTCTGCATCTCCTCTACACCATCTCACTGTGTCCTAGTAGGCACGTCTGCATCTCCTCTACACCATCTCACTGTGTGCTGGGAGGCACGTCTGCATCTCCTCTACACCATCTCACTGTGTGCTGGGAGACACGTCTGCATCTCCTCTACACCATCTCACTGTGTGCTAGTAGGCACGTCTGCATCTCCTCTACACCATCTCACTGTGTCCTAGTAGGCACGTCTGCATCTCCTCTACACCATCTCACTGTGTGCTGGGAGGCACGTCTGCATCTCCTCTACACCATCTCACTGTGTGCTGGGAGGCACGTCTGCATCTCCTCTACACCATCTCACTGTGTGCTGGGAGACACGTCTGCATCTCCTCTACACCATCTCACTGTGTGCTAGTAGGCACGTCTGCATCTCCTCTACACCATCTCACTGTGTCCTAGTAGGCACGTCTGCATCTCCTCTACACCATCTCACTGTGTGCTGGGAGGCACGTCTGCATCTCCTCTACACCATCTCACTGTGTCCTGGGAGGCACGTCTGCATCTCCTCTACACCATCTCACTGTGTGCTGGGAGGCACGTCTGCATCTCCTCTACACCATCTCACTGTGTGCTAGTAGGCACGTCTGCATCTCCTCTACACCATCTCACTGTGTGCTGGGAGGCACGTCTGCATCTCCTCTACACCATCTCACTGTGTGCTGGGAGGCACGTCTGCATCTCCTCTACACCATCTCACTGTGTGCTAGCAGGCACGTCTGCATCTCCTCTACACCATCTCACTGTGTGCTGGGAGGCATGTCTGCATCTCCTCTATACCATCTCACTGTGTGCTGGGAGGCACGTCTGCATCTCCTCTACACCATCTCACTGTGTGCTGGGAGGCACGTCTGCATCTCCTCTACACCATCTCACTGTGTCCTGGGAGGCACGTCTGCATCTCCTCTACACCATCTCACTGTGTGCTAGTAGGCACGTCTGCATCTCCTCTACACCATCTCACTGTGTGCTGGGAGGCACGTCTGCATCTCCTCTACACCATCTCACTGTGTGCTGGGAGGCACGTCTGCATCTCCTCTACACCATCTCACTGTGTGCTAGTAGGCACGTCTGCATCTCCTCTACACCATCTCACTGGTGCTGGGAGGCACGTCTGCATCTCCTCTACACCATCTCACTGTGTGCTGGGAGGCACGTCTGCATCTCCTCTACACCATCTCACTGTGTGCTGGGAGGCACGTCTGCATCTCCTCTACACCATCTCACTGTGTGCTGGGAGGCACGTCTGCATCTCCTCTACACCATCTCACTGTGTGCTGGGAGGCATGTCTGCATCTCCTCTATACCATCTCACTGTGTGCTGGGAGGCACGTCTGCATCTCCTCTACACCATCTCACTGTGTGCTGGGAGGCACGTCTGCATCTCCTCTACACCATCTCACTGTGTCCTGGGAGGCACGTCTGCATCTCCTCTACACCATCTCACTGTGTGCTAGTAGGCACGTCTGCATCTCCTCTACACCATCTCACTGTGTGCTGGGAGGCACGTCTGCATCTCCTCTACACCATCTCACTGTGTGCTGGGAGGCACGTCTGCATCTCCTCTACACCATCTCACTGTGTGCTAGTAGGCACGTCTGCATCTCCTCTACACCATCTCACTGTGTGCTGGGAGGCACGTCTGCATCTCCTCTACACCATCTCACTGTGTGCTGGGAGGCACGTCTGCATCTCCTCTACACTATCTAATTTGGAGAGTTGTTCATAGCATTCATTTAATGCTGTTCATTTCTAAAATCTCTCATGAGTTCAGTAATCTGAGTGTTCTTTTTTTCTGGATTAGTCTAGCTAAACATTTGTCAATTTTATTGATATTCTAAAAGAACCGTCTTTGGTTTTGTTGGTTTTCTCTTGATTTTTCTCTTCCCTATTTCATTTATTTCTGTTCTAGTCTTTATTTCCTTCCTTCTGTCTGTTTTGGCTTTGGTTTTTCTTTCTCTAGTTTCTGAAATTGAAAAGATAATAATTGAGATGTTCTTTTTAAATATAGTCACTCACAACTATGCATTTCCCTCGGAGCCCTGCTTTAGCTGCACCCGTAAGTTTTGGTATGCTGTTTTTGTGTTCAATCATTCCAAAGCTAACTTCTTATTTCCCTTCTCTTTCTGCTCTGGCACAGGCTTATCACAGTTGTGTTCTCCACTCTTCACTATCTGTCAAGTTCTTCCACTTCCCTGAGTTCTACTCAACATTACTGTGGTCAGAGAACACCCTCCACACCCTCCTGTCCTCTCCAACGTGTGCGCGCCTGCCCCACAGCCCCACTGCTCTCCATGGGAGTGTCCGGCGCTGAGAGGAGCGTGGGCCCCGCTGCTGGGTGGCACAGAGCTCTGTGGACATCCTGGGGCCAGCTGGTTTCCACATTGCTTAGTCTTCCTCCTGGTCCCTTGTTGATCTTCTACCTGGCTTTCCTACCCCTTTTTGGAAGTCATGTGTCACTGGCTTTTAAAAAGATATTTTCAAAACTGTTTAATGACTTTGGAAAATGCTTAGTTACTAAAAAAGAAACAAGAAAAACTGAAATGTGCATGCATAATGCAGTTGCTGCCACGTGAAAAAGGGTGATGACAGGAGGCCAGAAGGAAAGTAGCAGCACGTCCCACTGACACTTTCTGGCACACGGAGCTCCACTGCTGCAGAGCTGTGCTGTTTCTAACAGTGACGCCATTACTCTGATTGTCATCAAATGATCTTAAACTGACAATATGACTACCTGTGAGTCCCAGGCTATGCAAAGACAGGGGACCTTATTGTCATTTCGGGGCTGCAACCAGCAGCCTCCCCTCTCCAATCAAACCCCAGGGACCCCAGAACACCGGCGATCAGGACAGGGCCCCCACCCCCCTCCACACTCCCAGGACAAGCCCATCCCGTCCCGATTCTCAGCCGCTCCCCAGGCAGCCTCCAGCGCAAACCTCTGCCCCAACTCCGGACTCATCCGTGTTCTCTTTCCTCCGGCTGCTCTCTCCCAGACATTAACACCACGCCCACGGCCCCCATCCTGTGGCTGCTAGTCCAGCAAGCGCATTCAGGGCCGCCTGGGTCTCACCATGCACGATGGTGCAAAGCAGTTAGGACCAACTTATTACACATTCATTAAACAGTCTAGTTAACACGGAACATCAATTCCTGATCACATCTCAGCTGACTTCCTTCAGTTAACAAGTCTGCCGTCTCCTGACAGGCCCTCCTGCTCTGGGAGCATTAAGAGCCCCCACTGGCATCAGGGGGGAGGGAGCAGGCGGGCCCCAGCCCTCTAGTGGCCTCTCCCGACTCGGGGATGACTAGCGAGGGGGCCCCACGGCCTCATTAGTCACTTAATGGAAAGACCTCCCATGACATCATGCCTGGAAACAAAATGTGAGAGGGTCGCCGCCAAGTGCATTAAACCAGCATGTTCTCATCCTCTTAGGACACCTGCCTGCGGACTGCGGGGACAGACCCGACGCCGAGTGGAGACCAGAACGGCTAAAGCACCTAACAACAGCCAACGCCACGAGGGCAGGTTCACATGAAGACAAGTTAAAATCAGCTGCCGATAAAGACTCTACAGCGGCCTCGTCATTTACTTCTATTCTTAGATGGACTACGAAGCGGACCCCTCACCTGTGTCATGAGGATTTTTTAAGACATAAAACATGTTCCCAGCAGGCAGGACACACACAGAAGGAGCCACTCGGGGTTAAGCAGCTGCCGCTGAGCCCGGCCTGAGCCTCATCAGACTGACCGCTGTGCACGTGGTGAGTGTCCCCAAAGGGACATGTCACTAGTGCCTCAGAAGCAGAAGGGTGACGAGATGCTACGACATGCAACCGAGACGGTCCCGTTTTGCCTCGTGAGCAAACGTCCCTGCACGCCGTCCCCGACCCTCGGCACTCAGGTCCGCACCTTGAAGGCGGGTGCCAGCGCCCTGGGGACGCACCACACTGCAGCGCAGGCTCACTGCTCGGGCGCGACTCAGCCCTCCAGCTCCCACCACGAGGACGCGGGCTTCCCTGCTGTCAGCGACCTCTGACAACGGCAACGTGACGGCAGTCCTCGACGCTGGTGACAGGGGCAGGAAGGCCCCTGAAGTCCCAGCTCCATGTTTGTAGGGAGCATGTCATGGCGAGCTCTTACCTGTGTGTTCGCAAAGGAAGACGACAAAGAAAGGGGTGACCAGGTCGTTGATCCCCTGAACGTACCCGCTGGCAGGGTGACGGATGGCCCATATAAATAATATCCTTTCAAAAATCTGGAAGAAAACGAAACAGGCGGTGAAGCGCAGCGTGAGCACACCAGGACCTGCAAGGTGCACTCTTACTCGAGACACACTGCCCGTGTCTCCGCTGTCACTGACGCTAGAGTGTGAACAAACACCGACTGCTGCTTAAACGTTTCTGTTCCAATGATCTTACTTTTCATTGACTCACAAGCAATACATAATGCCCACCAACCCCTACCACATGGCTGGCTCGGCCCTACCACACCCGCGGGCTCAGCCCTACCACAGCGGCTGGGTCTCCCAAAAGATGCGGTTCCGAGCTCTTCCACCCCCTCGGGGACACCTGCATATGGCTCCCCGGCCTTAGTCAGGCTGTAGAGCAGCACCTGGCCCACCAGTGAACTGCTCCTGAAGGAAGGAGGGGCAGGGAGGGATGAAGGGGTATGTCAGCAAAAGGATGGGTAAGTGGTGGGTGGATACATGGCTGAATGGTAGGTGGATGGGTGGATGGATGGGTGATGGGCGAATGGTGGATGGATGTCAGACAGATGGGTGGATGGATGGGTGGTGGGTGAATGGTGGATGGATGTTGGACAGATGGGTGGATGGATGGGTGGTGGGCGAATGGTGGATGGATGTTGGACAGATGGGTGGATGGATGGGTGGTGGGTGAATGGTGGATGGATTTTGGACAGATGGGTGGATGGATGGGTGGTGGGTGAATGGTGGATGGATGTTGGACAGATGGGAGGATGGATGGGTGGTGGGTGAATGGTGGGTGGGTGGATGGATGGGTGGATGGATGGGTGGTGGGTGAATGGTGGATGGATGTTGGACAGATGGGTGGATGGATGGGTGGTGGGTGAATGGTGGGTGGGTGGATGGATGGGTGGATGGATGGGTGGTGGGTGAATGGTGGATGGATGTTGGACAGATGGGTGGATGGATGGGTGGTGGGTGAATGGTGGGTGGGTGGATGGATGGGTGGATGGATGGGTGGTGGGCGAATGGTGGATGGATGTTGGACGGGTGGGTGGATGGATGGTAGATGGATGGATGGGTGGATGGGTGGATGGATGAATGGTGGATGGATAATGGGTGGATGTTGGATAGATGGTGGAGGGAGGGTGGATAAATGGTAGCTGGGTGGGTAGTTCAAAGGGAGGAACAGAGGAGGGAAGGTAGATGGTAGGTGGATGCATGGACGGAAACTCTGAATTTCTCTCATTAGGTAAACAGACTTTTTTAATTGAGGTGTAATTGACCTAGCATTACATTAGCTTCAGGTATAGAACATAATGACTTAATACTTGTATATATTGTGAAATGATCACCAAAGTGAGTCTAGACCATATCCATCATCACACAGTCACAGAATGTTTTCTCGTGATGACAACCTTTAATATCTACTATCAGCAACTTTCAAATACGAGTATCATCAACTACGGTCATACTGTACGTACATCCCGAGCGCTTGTTTACTTCATGTCGACCCCTCACCTACCACCCTCGTCCTCCTCATCTGACAAACACCAGTCTGTCCTCTGTCTCTCTGAGCTCGGGTTCTTGTTAACAGCTGTTTTATAATCACTGGAAAGTTATCATCACCCGAGGAGACACTCAAGCACCCATCACACACGTCCTACCGCCCCTGCTGCCCACTGGCCGTGGGGCCCTCAGCCCCCAGCCCTGTCCTACCGCCCCTGCTGCCCACTGGCCGTGGGGCCCTCAGCCCCCAGCGCTGTCCTACCGCCCCTGCTGCCCACTGGCCGTGGGGCCCTCAGCCCCCAGCCCTGTCCTACCGCCCCTGCTGCCCACTGGCCGTGGGCGCCCTCAGCCCCCAGCCCTGTCCTACCGCCCCGGCTGCCCACTGGCCGTGGGCGCCCTCAGCCCCCAGCCCTGTCCTACCGCCCCTGCTGCCCCCGGGCCGGGGGCGCCCTCAGCCCCCAGCCCTGTCCTACCGCCCCTGCTGCCCACTGGCCGTGGGCGCCCTCAGCCCCCAGCCCTGTCCTACCGCCCCTGCTGCCCACTGGCCGTGGCGCCCTCAGCCCCCAGCCCTGTCCTACCGCCCCTGCTGCCCCCCTGGCCGTGGGGCCCTCAGCCCCCAGCCCTGTCCTACCGCCCCTGCTGCCCACTGGCCGTGGGCGCCCTCAGCCCCCAGCCCTGTCCTACCGCCCCTGCTGCCCACTGGCCGTGGGCGCCCTCAGCCCCCAGCCCTGTCCTACCGCCCCTGCTGCCCACTGGCCGTGGGCGCCCTCAGCCCCCAGCCCTGTCCTACCGCCCCTGCTGCCCCCTGGCCGTGGGCGCCCTCAGCCCCCAGCCCTGTCCTACCGCCCCTGCTGCCCACTGGCCCTCCCTCTCCCGGCACTCGTGCCCGCCGCTCCCCCACCTTTACTCAGACAGGTGTCTCGCCAGGTGCACACAGCCCGTCACCCCGACCGCAGGCACAGGCGCACACACTGAAGGGCCTTCCCCTGCTCCACGCCGCCCACAGACCGAGCGTGGAGCCGCCCAGCCTCGCGCTCGTCCCCGACCCAGCAACACGCTTCCGCAAGCCTGCCAGGCTGTACCCACTGCCATGCCCACTGCCAGGGAAGCCAGGCCCTCCGTCATCTACGCGGCTGGGGGACACTTCAAGCACCACATGGCCCGGGCCCCGAGCACCCTGGGCACCGAGGAAGGCACTCTGGGGCCAATCCCGGGGGACAGGTGAGCAGGCAGCTGGAGGAGGCGGCTGGGCTTCCCGAGCACTTGGAAAGCACTGTGTACACGGAGCCATGGAGACTGCCACCACCGGCTCCCTCCCCACCCTTTTAGGGGGCATACCACTTCCTGCTTATCTGACCTTAGCCCCCTCCACAGGCAGTGCCCTGCAGAGCACCGGCCTCCCTCGGGGACTCAGTCCTGCCGTCCTGGTCACACAGGAGCATGGGGTGCCGTGCAGGCTCACCGACTGCCCACGGGGTGGTTACACCATCCCCCAACAAGCCAGCCCTGCAGAGCCAACCGTGCCGGTACCCCCGGAGGTCAATGCCTCCCCAGCGCCTACATCCCTGAATGCACCAAGCGCTCTCCTCCATCACCATGGGCCCTGGCACTCACAGGGAGGCTGGGGCCCGCAGCCACACAGTGGCACAAGCAGCCCAATGCCCACACAGAACAGAGCCCTCTGGGGCTGTCCGGAAGAAATAACTAGCCAGGCGGGCACCGCAGCCAGCACCTGCGACAGCAGGAGCCTGGTAAATATTTGCTGAAGAGTGATACATCACGCACACATATTCACACACGCTTCTCATTTTAAGTCAACAGCTTTCTAGAAAATTGAATATTTAAACATGACCAAGAGACCAAAATCACTCAACAGCGCGACACCATTTAGTGTTTCTCACGTGCAGACACTGAGGGTGGATAGCGCTCTGGCGCTGGGCGCCGGCACCCTCGCTGAAGCCGGGGCAGTGCTCGGAGCCAGCACCCGAGCAACGCCTCGGGCAACAGGTGGAGGCAGGTCCCAGCAGGAACCCTCTCGGCCACGAGGCAGCAGCCACGCCTGGCCTGGTCCCGGGCACAAGGCAGGCCCAGAGAAGTCGGTTTGGGGCAGGTGACTCAGCCAGCTCTACCCAGAGAGGAGGGACAAGGGAGCCGCCAGCTCACCAGGGACTTAGAAGGGGCTGTTCCTTGTGAGTCCTGGACCGGGGCTCTGAGAAAGCTGCAGACTCCGAGCTGGCCTGACTCCTGACTCAGTCCCCGAGCGAAGGCCTCCCCGTCCCGAGCTGGCTTCCCCATGAGGGCGCAGATCAGCTGTCCTGCCCTGGCCCGGCCCCGAGCACCCCTGGGGCACCGAGGAAGGCACTCCAGAGCCAATCCCGGTGGACAGGTGAGCAGGCGGTGGGCGGCGGCGGAGCTTCCTGGGCACTTGGGAAGACTGTGTGCGAGGACAGAGGGTCCAGCACGCACCTTCTGGCCCTGTGGTCCCAGCCGCCCGCCCTGCCTTGGGGAGCGCGGGGCCAGCCTAGACATGAACGCACAGCTAGAAAGTCTGCTCAGCGGAGCTCAGAGGGATGAGCAGAGCCCTGAGGAGTCGGGCAGGAGTGGCCTCAGCACAAGCAGCCCCTCTAAGGACCCCTGCGACTGGGGGGGGGGGTAGGCCCCGGGAAGGCCATTGGCTCCAGCACGCTGCCGCCTTCCGGGTGCAGAGCGCCAGGCCCCCGGGAGTGGAGCGCAGGCCCCCGGGAGCGGAGCACCAGGCCCCCGGGAGCGGAGCGCCAGGCCCCCGGGAGCGGAGCGCCAGGCCACAGGGTGCGGAGCGCCAGGCCCCCGGGAGCGGAGCGCCAGGCCACAGGGTGCGGAGCGCCAGGCCCCCGGAAGCGGAGCGCCAGGCCCCCGGGAGCGGAGCGCCAGGCCACCGGGTGCGGAGCGCTAGGCCACCGGGAGCGGAGCAATAGGCCACCGGGTGCGGAATGCTAGGCGGTGGCCTTCGGCCCCTCATCTTCGCTCGCTCACTTCAAGACCCTCCCGTCAGCAGACCTCACACTTGTCTGTGCTTCTGGAGAGAGGGATCCCCAGGCTCCAAGGTGGGATTCTGACTCGGGCATGAGGAGGCCCGGGAGCGGGCAGGCTGAAGGTTTAAAGGCAATTAAACAATGAGACCAACACTTCCCCAAAGATCTATGCAAATCAGTACATAAAAAGGTGCAAAACCAAAGACACCACTCCACACCATCACAATGCTACCGCAAGAAAGGGGGGAGGGGCGCGCTGGGCTCCCAGACTGGGGGGGGGGGGGGCGCTGCTCTGCTCTGGCAGCTCCCGGAAGCACCTGAGCACACCTGACCGCGTGCCCAGCTACTCCCAGAAGGGAGACAGCTGCCCTCCCCGAAGAGGTGCGTGAAGGGTTCACAGCAACCGTATCTTGTCAGGGCCGAATGGAAAGAACCTCTGTGTCCGCGACTGGAGAAACAGGTGAGCACACTGAGGCCACCAGACAGAGCAATGACCATGACAGTGTGGCTGGACACCACTGTCCCCGTGAGAGAGGAACTCACAAGTCTGCGACTCCCACATGCCATTCACACGAAGTTCTTAGAAAGCAAGACCCTGGAGAGAGAAAGCAGACCAGGAGTGGGCGGGGCGGGCAGTGCCCCATACCTGACTCGGTGGTTGTAGCCCACACGCAGGTGTCAGACGGACCTACTGTCCACTCACACAGGTGAACACTGACACACAGCCGGTCTGTCGGTCAGACCTCAACAAAGCTGACGGGAGGCTGGGGAGGGGAGGCAGGGGGAGGGGAGCAGACACCAGAGCAAACCGGACATCCATGCTGCTGAATAAAAGGCTGTGTGGACAGCACTGGCCAGTTTGGCTCAGCAGTTGAAGCGTCAGCCCGCAGATCAGAGAGTCCCAGGTTCGGTTCCTGCTAGGGCATGTACCTCAGTTGCGGTCTGTCCCCAGCCCTGGTTGGGGTCGTGTGGGTGGCGGCCTCTCGATGTGTCTGTCTCACATCTGTTTCTCTCTCTCTCTTCCTCCCTCTCTCCCTCCTGCTCTATCTGAGGATAAATGCAAAAACACTTAGTCCTCAGGTAAGGATAAAAAATAAATAAATAAATAAAAGGATGTGTGGACAGATGGAAGGAAAAGCCTGTGGCAGAAACCCTTCTTCCTGAGTACTGAGAAGCCCCAGCCTCGAGTGGGCACATGGCCCACGATCATCGGAGCCACGTGCTTCTGGTTCTGCATGAGACAGTGCAGCCACATCGGGGGTCCCACCGGGAGGACACAGAAGTTCCAAAGAGGGCGTGCCTCTCCACCGTGCCCTCCTCCTGCTGCTGCTGCTGGAGCGCACGCGATGCAGGGGCCAGGGCAGCCGCCCTGGACCACGCAGTGGGAGCCAAGCACAGGAGTGACCGACTCAAGGCCGCAAGCCCGCACCCGAGATGCCAGCGCAGGCCTGTGGGGAGCTGCGGGCCTGTCGGCGCCAGGTGTCCAGGCCCAGCCCCCTCGCAGACACCGCTCCTGGACTCTGCCTGTGTCTAGCACAGGACCCACGTTCCCACACTGTCTTCCCACCCGCCCACGACTCCACGTCCCCCACCAGGCTTGATGACTCGGCCGTCACCCGCCTGGCCAGCTGCAGAGCCCCTGGGACAAGCCCTTCGCCCTGGGGTGGGACTGCCCCCCGGGGCCGGACAGGCCTGCCGCTCCCAGAGCAGCCAGAGCCAAGGAGACACCATGAAGGAGAGGGCCCCGCCCTAGGGCACAGACACCGGGACACCCACCAGGGCAGTGACGGGCTCTCCTGACACCGGGACAGCTCAGCAGTGGGTCAAGTGCTGGACACCACGGAAAGAAACCAAGTGCTGAGGGGACTATGTCTCCCTGAAAGAAATGAGGTGAAACAGCCACAGTGACACAGCCATTGGAAAGGACCCCGGAGGACCTCGGAGTGACTCCTGCAGAGACGGGCTTCTGCTCCGCCCTGCCATCGGGAAGCACTGTGCCTTGACGCTGCTTCTCCTGACACGCTGACTGCACACACAGGCGGTGCCACCGCTCAAGGGCGGTTGTGGCCCTGGCCCGTTTGGCTCAGCGGGAGGGTGTCAGCCTGCGGACCAATGGGTTGCAGGTTCGATTCCGGTCAAGGGCATGCACCTTGGTTGCAGTTTGTCCCCGGCCTGGTCGGATCGTGCGGGAGGAAACCAGTCGATGTGTCTCTCTAAATTTCATGACGTCAATTCTCCCAAGCTGATCTATAGGTTCTGTACAATTCCAATCATATGAGACAGACATTTTTTTCTTTTTTTTAATCCTCACCCAAGGACTTTTTATTTTTTTTGCATTTATCTTCAGATAGAGCAGGAGGGAGAGAGGGAGGAAGAGAGAAAGAGAAACATCGATGTGAGATGTCCTAGGGCTGGGGACGAACTGCAACCAAGGTACGTGCCCTTAGCAGGAACCGAACCTGGGACTCTGGTCCGCGAGGCCAAGGCTTTAATCGCTGAGCCAAACCGGCCAGGGCTCAGAGAGGCTTTCAAAGCGAATGAGAAAGTGTCAGCCATCTGACCCTGAGACGTGAGGGGAAGGGCAAAGGCCTCGGACCACACCCTCCCGTGAGAGGAAGCAGCAGGGTGTGGACACCTTACCCAGGACTTGAGACTGGATGCCAAGCGGAGCTGGCGAGCAGGGTGTGGCACAGGGACAAGCACCAGGACACTGGGGCAGGGCAGAGCAGAGGTCTCTGCGAATGGGGGCAGAGGACAGGCGGAGCCGGCGGGCACCAGGGCCCGAGAAGCTGAGCTGCGTCCTCCGCCGCCAGCCGTGGTCACCGAGAGATGAACAAACACGCAGGAGGACAGGCAAAGCAGCACAGCTTCCAGGGGAACAGGACAGAGGGGCTTACGGTGTGTGGAGGATGAGACTTTGTTTGTTTATCCTCACCTGAGGACATTTTTCCATTTTTTGTTCAGACAGAGTAGGAGGGAGAGGGAGGAACAGAGAGAGAGAGAAAATATCGACTTGGCTGCCACCCGCACGACCAATCAGGTAGGATGAGATTTTTAAGCAGAGGCCAAGGCCACCCACAAGCAGTAACGAGGTAAACTGCACTAAGCTAACATTTCCAACCACTGACGGCCCCCAGAGGGAAGGGGGACAGCACGGGGCGGCCGAGCTATCTGCGACATGCAGCTGATAACAGCTTAGATCCCTAACTCAGAAAAATCAACCCCAATAAAACGAGATCAACACCCCAAAAGAAAAATGGGCAAAGACAGGACCAAGCATCCCCAGAGAGCGATCGTGGAAGGGGCCCACAAACACATGAAGGGGTGTGTCTCCATCAGCAACCAGGAAAACAGGCACGAAGACCCAGTAAGGACACCTGCTGAGAGACAAAGACCAACAAGTCTGGCACGTGAAGAACTGGCACGGGCACGGGCGCCACCAGGCCCCGAGCGGTCCGCGGGTGAGAGCCGAAGCGGCATCCCGTCCGGAACGCAGTCGTTACCGTGACCGTGTCCAGGCTCACACCCAGCAGTGCAGCAGGTCACTTCTCCGCCCATGCCCTGGAGCAAGGCTGGTCTGTGGGCAGCGGATGTCCGCAGCAGCCGAGCTGTGCCCACAGGGAGAGGGCTCCAGAAAGCGTGGGCTCTGAGCGAGGACCATCACACACAGCACAGGGGCTGGGACTCGGAAAACACGACGAGTAAGAAAACACAGGTCACAGAGACCAGGCCGCACGAGGGACGGCGCAGCCCCCATCACCTTCTCAGGACACACATCATGTGACATGGCCTAGAGCCCGAAGAATCGCACACATAAAGTTGGGGGACTCCACGCAAGGGCTGAGAACGCGGAGCAGCCCTCGCACCGGCGCAGGTTTGGGCAGCATCGTGAGGACTGGGCACACGGACCCTGCGGCCCCCGTTCCCTCTCGCAGCAGTACAGCCGCTGTAGGAACAAGGGCTCCTGTCGGCGATGACTTGCAAGCCCGCCTGTGGGGGAGCACCTGCCCCGCACCCACCGCCTTAGAGGAAAGTGGGCACCGACCCCGGCGAAGGGAGACACCTGGGCAGGCACTTCCGGTGCTCTTACCTCTGTCACTCTGGGCTGAAGTGTCAGGGCCTCTGGACTCATTCGAGGGATGTCTATGTGGATCTGGAGACAAAAGAGAAAGAGACAAAGGATGACAAACAACACCTCAACATCACAGTGAGAAGGCTGACACCATGACAATAACAAGGCGACCCCGGGTCTGACTGCTCCAGACACGCCCTGGCCACGTCCGAGCTCCCCGGGTCTCACTCTGCTCCGAGACACTCCCTGGCCACGTCCGAGCTCCCCGGGTCTCACACTGCTCCGAGACACGCCCCGGCCACGTCCGAGCTCCCCGGGTCCCACTCTACTCCGAGACACGCCCCGGCCACGTCCGAGCTCCCCGGGTCCCACTCTGCTCCGAGACACGCCCCGGCCACGTCCGAGCTCCCCGGGTCCCACTCTACTCCGAGACACGCCCCGGCCACGTCCGAGCTCCCCGGGTCTCACTCTGCTCCGAGACACGCCCCGGCCACGTCTGAGCTCCCCGGGTCTCACACTGCTCCGAGACACGCCCCGGCCACGTCCGAGCTCCCCAGGTCCCACTCTACTCCGAGACACGCCCCGGCCACGTCGGAGCTCCCTGGGTAGGGAGCAGCTCCATCTGAAGGAGCTCCCTGAGTCCTAGTTGACAGGCTGGCTTGACACCCCATCAAACAGCAGTGGCTGCGTGATCAGGAACAGAGCAGGCCCCTGACTATTTAGCAGTGAATCCATAGCAATCAGGGACAGTGATGTCCAGCTCGACACGAGAGCGGTTCCAGTGCATCAGCAGCATGCAAGCTTTCGGCTGTGACAGCGGCTTCCCGGAGCCCAGGCCCCACGTTCCCCACTTCACCAAGCCCTTGGGGATCCGGGGCCCTTTTCACTGGAAGCGCTTCACACTCTCTGCCGGGCACGAGAGTCCTAATAAAGTTCGCCACGTGGCATAGGAACCCATGCAAGGTTTAAGCAACCAAAACAACGTCCAGGCTTAAGCAGGGATCACATGGCTCCCAACACCCCCCGAACATCACGCCAGCCCACACTGTCACCACCACCTCGCCCAGGAAACAGCCCTTAGAGTCAGGTGCACCCCGCCCTTGCGGTTGGCGGGCAGCCTCCCCCTCTGCGGCAGCACTGCGGCCTGGGGGTCCCGGGCTCTGGGCTGCAGGCTGCGCATCCTGTCATCCTGTCCGCGGACACTCGCCAGCCCCTCCCTCGGGCCCTGGGGGGACCCAGGCAGCAGCTTCGCGGGCCCGCCGACCACGCCGCTCTGGAGCAGGAGACTGCGCTCGGGATCAGCAGCCTCCTGCCAGTCTTCCCTCCGGAGAACCTGGAGTCCCGGCCAGGTGGCCCAGAGGGAGGGACTGGGACTGCACAGGGCGAGGACGAGGCCCCATGTCCCGAGGGCACAGCTGCAAGGTGGCAGCGGGGGAGGCAGGTGATGAGACACAGCAGAGGACTCGGCCCTCCAGGCCCCGAGCACCATGTGCCCAGGAGACCGTCCTGGGGGACGAGGAGGAGAAGGGACCTTCCAGACTCGGGAGGCGAGGGGTCAGAGGACTCCAGCAGCCACACGAGGAGCCAAGGCTTAGGCAGGGATGAGAACCCTCCACATTTCATCCCCTTGACCAGGGCGTCCTGGAGGGCCACCCCCAGAGCACTAGCCCACACAATGCCGCTCACAGGCGCACGTCTGTCCGCGGCACACCAAGGCAGCCCCGCCCACCTGACGGAAGAGCAGGCAGCCCCGTCTGTGGAGTGCAGAGGGCGGTGGCGGCATAAACGGCAGCTTGCCGTCACCACACCACCAGGAGCATATCCTGAGGAAGGAGGCCCTCAGCACAGCTGGACACTCATGTGCCACCCAGGCCGTCCCTGCGCAGGGCGGGGCGAGCAGGCGAGGCCACGATGGTCTGCAGAGCTCCCAGGGCGGGAGGACACGCCCACGAGCCCGCGAGTCTGATGGACTCCGTGCGCGCTGGACGCAACGCCTTCAGCAAGAGACCAGCACAGACGTCAAAGGACAGAGGCAGGAGGAGGGCGACCGTCCTCAGGGAGCGGCAGTCAGGTCAGCGGTGGGAGCAGCACCGCGAGTGGGCAGCAAGCAGAGGCCAGGGCCCGGGGCCCACACCTGGCCGGCTCTGTGACCTCGCAGCGCCTGGCTGGACAGGTCAGCAGGGTCCCTCCAGGGCAGGTGTCCACGCAGCAGGGTGCATCTCTGTCACCCGAGTGCCGAGACCTCTGGAACCACAACAAGGCGGGAGCTCTCTGTGACCTCTTGTGGCAACTGAGCACAGATGCAACAACTGCTCCTCCCCGGAGAAGCCGCAGCAGAGCACAGCCTGCCGAGTCTCGGCGTCGCCTCGAAGCCTTTCTCCCAGATAAAAACACATCAAAACATGCTCAAACCATCCCCAAATCCATCCATTCTCTGAGACCTGCGACCCAAACGCAATCTGTCTCACGCCGGCTACAGGGTGCCAGGGCGGGGCCTGCCTGGGAGCCACGAGGTGCGCGGAGGCAGCGGGAGCAGCACCAGGCCGGGCGAGGGGCCGCCGGAGGGCCATGGCAGCAGGCTCCTCCCAGCTCCTCCCCGGCCGCGGTCTCCCTCCAGAGCCTCCACTGTGCCCGCGGGGGGACATGCTTTCCAAGGACCCACGGAGCCCCAGGAACCAGGACCACCAGGGGTGAGCCTGTCTCCGGCCCTCTGCACCACACCTATAGCAGGCCGACAGGTGCGTGTGGACAGGCCCGTCGGTGAGAGTTCGGCAGAGCTCCTTCGCCTGGGGGCAGGTTCCCGACAGGAAACGTCCGACACGGAGGTGTGCCGGGAGAGGCAGACAGTCGTCTGGGAAACGGGGCCATGCTGCGACTCGGACCAGTGTGGTCGGCCACAGCATAGGCCGCTCTGAGCTCGCACACCTCACAGAGGGACCGAAAGGTCTCAGGGAGCCGTGCGGACAGCGAGCGCTGGACGCACTGAGTTAACCACATTATCTGCTCTCAAGCTCACTGACTGACGGGACTATCCAGCTGTGACCCAGGCGGGGTCAGGCGAGATCAAACACTTCCTCCCACACGTCGCCCCCACGTCAAAGCGCCTGTCTTACGTGGCGCATGGGGACAGGTAAGGGCCCCTACCTGTCGGTAGGTGTCTTGGTGAACTTCGTCATTCCTAGAGTCGTAATAACTCTCCACAAAGGCGAAGTACTCTTTCTGCTTCCTCTGGAGAGTGGCAGGTCTTCGGTCGACGTTGGCAGGAAGGTAACCCTGGAAAAACGCAATGAAGAGTCAGTGTGGTTGATGCCAAGCCACGGAGTCTCCCTGAAGAGGGCGAAGGAGTAAGGGCCCGTGTCTCAAATGACGTGGGAGGACTGGTGGGTGGCAACAGAGACACAGACGTGGAGACGGGCACCGCGGGCCACATGGCAGCACCTGGCCAGGTGCTCAAAGCCCTCGTGCCCAGGTGCAGCGGGACCTGCGGCGCTCACAGTCACAGTCACCGCGCCCAGAGCAGGGCTCGGAGACAGGCCGCTTCCTCTCTGCACGCACCCGCGCCCGCGCCACGACGGATGCAGTCCTCTCTGCTGGGGCCTGAACGCGACGTCGCCCCTGGAAAGCCCACGCACCTGCAGCACAGGGCACGACACCCCGCTACGGACCCCGCGGCCGTGGGGCAGTCAGCAGTCCTCACGGGAACACTCCGTACCCGCCCTCCTGGGCGCCACAGGCATTTCGCCCAGCATGCACCTGGGAGCAGTGTGCGTGTGCCCTCGACAGAGCCCTTTCCAAAGCGATGCCACTCCCGCGGCAAGTCTGAGCGCCCACTGCCCTACGTCCTTGTCAGCACTCGGCACTGTGGGGCGTTTCCCTGTGGCCGCCCCGAGGGCTCTGCAGTGGTGTCTACTAGAGCAGTTCTACCTGCACGTCCCAGGACCTGAGGGTGTCGCCGTGTCCTCATCCGTGAGGTCCCCGCGCAGCAGTCGCGCTGTTCCTCATGGTTCACGGCACCTGTCACCCCGTCTGCGGGTGACCCTGTGGTAACTGTGTCCCCTCCCTGCAGCCTCCCTTCTCCCTGCCAACAGAGTCTTTGCTGAAAAGGTCCCAACTTCAGTGCAGCCCAACCCACCTACCCTTCGCGGTCAGTCCTCTCTCGCGCTTCCTAAGGTGTCCTGTGCCCAACATGCATGCTTCACGGCTCACCTCAGACACGCCCCCACCCCGCCGCATCCGTCCGTGCGGGCTGCAGGGCCCGCGAACACGCACACCGCCCCTGCTCAGGGCCGCTGAGCACCGCACGGCGGGCCGAGTGGCTGCGGGACAGGCCATGTGACCCACAAGAGTGCAGGCAAACTCTCGGCTGTCCAGCCCGACAGGAAAGGGCCGCCAAGCCCCGCTCCGACACGCTGACCCCCGGCCGCCCGGCTGCCCACTTACAAACCCACACCGACCTGCGCTCCAGTCGACACTCCCCACTCCGAACGCTCCGACCCCCGGCGTCTGTCCGGTCGGAGCCGGGGGCAGTCCCCGCCGCGAAGTGCACCGGGCATCCCAGGCTCCTGACGCCTACCTCCCAGCAACCCTGCTGGCGGGGCACGGATTACAACCCAGCGGACCCGTGGTGGTGTCGGCGCCTCCACCACGAGGAACACCTGCGCAGAAACGCATCCGGTTCACTGCACGGGGGAGGGGCCGTTCCCCGCCAGAGCAGCGCAGCTGACAACCCACACCAGCCGAGTCCCTGTTCCTGCAGTAGCTGGGCTGCTGGCCCCTGGGCCCCCGTTTCGGGCCAAACGAGAGAATGCTAGGATGCCACAGAGCGGACCCTGCCCACAGCTCCCACAGCGCAGACACTACCCGCTCCTGTGCCTCCTGCTCTCCATCTGGAGCCCGCGGTGCCCTTCTGGTCCAAGCCTGCCCTGCGCTAGGCAGCAGTTACAGCAGGGGATGGCCACTGCAGTGGGGCGTGTCATCCTCTGCCAGGGGTGGCCTCAGAGACGACTGTGTGGGGCCGCGGCATCGACCACCCACTGCTCCCAAGGCCCTGGTCTCATGTAAAATACAAGCACCTGAGTTTGCTCCTGTCCCTTCGCCCTAATTACCAGGGCACAGGCTGCATGAGAGACGGGACGGCTACACCCAGGCACTGCCTGCCACCCACCGAGTGCAGAGGCTGGCAGGAGCCCCCACAGACAGCAGCCGGGCTCAGGGACCAGTTCAGTGTAGCCACAGGGCCTGCCGGCAGGCGGAAGCCAACATCCGGCCTCGGGGCCCACGCGCCTCCCCTGGGAGCCCGGCCTCGGGGCCCCCACAGCGCCTCCCCTGGGAGCCTGGCCTCGGGGCCCCCACAGCCCCTCCCCTGGGAGCCCGGCCTCGGGGCCCACAGCCCCTCCCCTGGGAGCCCGGCCTCGGGGCCCCCACAGCGCCTCCCCTGGGAGCCTGGCCTCGGGGCCCCCACAGCCCCTCCCCTGGGAGCCCGGCCTCGGGGCCCCACAGCCCCTCCCCTGGGAGCCCGGCCTCGGGGCCCACAGCCCCTCCCCTGGGAGCCCCCCACCACCAGCCCCTCTGGTCGCTAAGTCAGGGCCCCTCTGCTGAGACTCCCCCTCCACATCGAAGCAGGCGCCCACTCCCACAGGTGAGCCTGGCCCACGGCCTGCGGCTCTGAACAAAACTTTCCGGGAACACGCTGGGCGCGCGGATCACACACGCAGTCTCCACCCCGCGGGGCAGAGCTGGTTGGCGGCGCACAGACCAAGGGAGCCACAGTGCCAGGACCTCTGCTGCCGGCCCTTCCGGACGCCGCTCCCGCCTCTGCAGGGCTGGCCCCTCCCGCCCAGGCGTGCCGGCCTCCTCCCGCCTCTGCAGGGCCGGCCTCCTCCCACCTCTGCAGGGCCGGCCTCCTCCCGCCCAGGCGTGCCGGCCTCCTCCCGCCTCTGCAGGGCCGGCCTCCTCCTGCCTCTGCAGGGCCGGCCTCCTCCCACCTCTGCAGGGCCGGCCTCCTCCCGCCCAGGCGTGCTGGCCTCCTCCCGCCCAGGCGTGCTGGCCTCCTCCCGCCTCTGCAGGGCCGGCCTCCTCCCGCCCAGGCGTGCTGGCCTCTCCCCCGCGGTGCCCCTCAGCACTGCTTCTCCCACTGCTGCCCACCCCCCTCGCCCGAGGGCTCAGCCCCTCTCGGCTCGGGTCTGCACCGCATCCCAAGGCACCGGGCGCTGGCGCAGAGCGAGTGAGACTGGACCACACTCTCCACACACCTGCAGGGCCACTTCCCGCCCCTGCGCTGGCAGACATGTCAGCAGCCCCGGGAGGGGCTCGCCGGGGGTGCAGGGAGGAGGCGGTCTGGGCTACGTGGGATTGCAAGTAGCAGCTGGCACACCGCTCCGGGTGGTCTGGGCTACGTGGGAATGCAAGTAGCAGCTGGCACACCGCTCCGGGTGGTCTGGTGCTGACAGTCGGGAAGAGAGAGGTGGGCAGGGAGAGGCGAGCAAAAGCCCTGGGAAAGGGGGCAGGGCCTCACGGAGTACGCAGGGCAGCACGGCCGGCGGCACAGACCAGGGGTGAGGACAGGTGCCGCGGTCGGGGCCTTGCCTCAGGGCGGGGGCCAGCAGGGGCAGACCGGGGTGGGGACAGCCTTACACTAACCACCGGCCATCCGAGGGCTCTGAGCGAGCAGGACGACCTCTCAGAAACCCTCCCTGTCCCCAATCCTAACTCACCCTACAGAGAGACTCTGACAGGGAAGTACGCCATGACAGGCGGCGGGAGCCAGCGTCCTCCCGACACCCCATTCCTGAAGGGATGACACACGCAAGTTGAGGTCTTTTCGATAATTAAGCAAAACTAAAAATTATGCAAATGAGATATACGCAAGTATGTGATGAATGTAAATGACAGAACCACAGGAATGCCGCTGCTGCATCAGCACGCCAGGAAACGCGGACCGTGGGTGCAAACCACGCGGAGACGATCCGAACCGTCCCAGCGGGACCGTGGGTGCAAACCACGCGGAGACGATCCGAACCGTCCCAGCGGGACCGTGGGTGCAAACCACGCCGAGACTATCCGAACCGTCCCAGCGGGACCGTGGGTGCAAACCACGCCGAGACTATCCGAACCGTCCCAGCGGGACCGTGGGTGAACCACGCCGAGTATCCGAACCGTCCCAGCGGGACCGTGGGTGAACCACGCCGAGAGTATCCGAACCGTCCCAGCGGGACCGTGGGTGTGAACCACGCCGAGACTATCCGAACCGTCCCAGCGGGACCGTGGGTGAACCACGCCGAGACTATCCGAACCGTCCCAGCGGGACCGTGGGTGAACCACGCCGAGACTATCCGAACCGTCCCAGCGGGACCGTGGGTGTGAACCACGCCGAGACTATCCGAACCGTCCCAGCGGGACCGTGGGTGTGAACCACGCCGAGACTATCCGAACCGTCCCAGCGGGACCGTGGGTGAACCACGCCGAGACTATCCGAACCGTCCCAGCGGGACCGTGGGTGAACCACGCCGAGACTATCCGAACCGTCCCAGCGGGACCGTGGGTGAACCACGCCGAGACTATCCGAACCGTCCCAGCGGGACCGTGGGTGAACCACGCCGAGACTATCCGAACCGTCCCAGCGGGACCGTGGTGTGAACCACGCCGAGACTATCCGAACCGTCCCAGCGGGACCGTGGGTGAACCACGCCGAGACTATCCGAACCGTCCCAGCGGGACCGTGGGTGAACCACGCCGAGACTATCCGAACCGTCCCAGCGGGACCGTGGGTGAACCACGCCGAGACTATCCGAACCGTCCCAGCGGGACCGTGGGTGAACCACGCCGAGACTATCCGAACCGTCCCAGCGGGACCGTGGGTGAACCACGCCGAGACTATCCGAACCGTCCCAGCGGGACCGTGGGTGAACCACGCCGAGACTATCCGAACCGTCCCAGCGGGACCGTGGGTGAACCACGCCGAGACTATCCGAACCGTCCCAGCGGGACCGTGGGTGAACCACGCCGAGACTATCCGAACCGTCCCAGCGGGACCGTGGGTGAACCACGCCGAGACTATCCGAACCGTCCCAGCGGGACCGTGGGTGTGAACCACGCCGAGACTATCCGAACCGTCCCAGCGGGACCGTGGGTGAACCACGCCGAGACTATCGGAACCGTCCCAGCGGCAGGGGCGCCACCTGCCCTCGGGCGAGTCCATGTGCACACCCCCCCAGCAGACGGGGCAGAGATGTGACACCAAGCACCTCGTCTCACCCTCACTTTCTATTCGCCAC